TGGTTTAACTACCCCATGAAACACTAAATAGTTTGTGTGATTGGGAAACACTAAATAGTTTGTGTGATTGGACCATACTACAAAACGTAGTAAAAGTAAGTAGAAAACAATAATCCATCGATATGTGGCGTCATCTGTTGGGTTAAATTCTAGTTAAAATATATTTAAGTAGGTGCATGATATTTTTGCCATTTATAAATATTATATATATACTTTTTTATTAATTGGAATATCAAAACTGGTTACCCACAGAACAATCAAATAAGCTGGACAGATCTTGTAGCGATAGTTCGAGTCGTCTAATGGCTAGCGCTACTGACGTGATCAGGTAGTTAGGTAGGTAGTAGACGAAAAAGCTGTTGTCTTAGAAATTCTTGACTTATTATACTGTAAATGTTATAGACCTTTTTATCATGTTATTAGTATATATGCGCATAATGTATAATATATCGTAACCAATACTCTGAATGGTCTGTTTTTCGCTTAGGAATTGGATAGGTTGGTTTTTTGGCGCGTAAATTATTTGGAAACCTTGTCTATCTCTATGTGGTGACACAAGGATAAAACTAGCATACAGTTGCCTGATCTCTGCAACAAGTATAGATTCGGGAACATAGTATGTGGAAAGTATAGTGATTTGTTGTAGGTAGAATAAATAAGACACAAAACATGGTGTTAAAGTCAAACTAGAAATATAAAAACTATGTTTTGAGGACCAAACATAAGAAGGCTGATTGTGTTGTGATATGAAATTAAGTAAAATAAAAATGAATAGTTGTAGTAAAAGTAAGTAGAAAACAATATAACTACCCCATGAAACACTAAATAGTTTGAAACACGCAACAGTTTCTGAAGGTAAAAATAAACAAACAAGAGTATTTAAAACTGCTACAAAAATAATGAAACAGGGATTTGTAGCTTAAGTAAGTAATGTCTACAACATCTCTAGCTTTGATCGCTTACTTTTTTGCGATCTGTATTTATAATTATTTAAATTTCCAATTATATATTTATCTTGTTTACTGGCTTTTTTTATGCTAAACTATGAGCAAAGAATTACTAGATATGGTAACTAACTTTATATATTGTAATGGAAAGAAAAATAGCTAGTAGCTAGCTGATACGGTTTATGATGATTTAATGTAGCTAGTGACTATCTGATCGCATTAGTTCGAGATGTTAAATGTTAAGCTGCAGCTGGATATTGTCATGGATATTTGTTTGAGAATATAGTGAGCATTTATAGTTTCTGTGTAACTGAATTATCTATATATAATGCATAGCAATGGGCAAATAAATGCCTTGACCAAGTCACAACCCCCACTAAGCACATATAAAATTTTACCAGTAGAAAAAATCGCATTTTCAAATAAAACATATATGTTTAAAACATCACTTTAAACATATGAAGCTTCGTGTCTTTTAAAGTAATTGTTATATGAATATATGTAATATAATTTAATATTATGTGTATTGATTTTTTTTTACTCCTTCACTTTTTACATGATATAGGGGTTGGCTCCCTAAAGACACTGATTATATATATAGTGTACAAAGCATTGAGTATCTACATGTTACAGTCATCTAATGTTCATCTATTATTGGCTGATAACTCCTGTTTCACCCTGTACTTAAGCTTTTTATAGAAACATCATATATTTCTAACAAAGCTACCTTCAAGGGGCAATAATAACATCATTTACACTGGAATTATGATGTTTTCAACTTAAGCAAAATATAGAAGAAACAAGCCTACTTGTCAATACCCCTACAACCTTCGCATTACCTTATTTAGTCTTCTACAAAATGTTTGGGTGCAATACACCAAGCCGTTTTTATTGTTAGCTGGCAAGAGAATATAATAATAAGAATAAGAATAATTACAAATGCGTCGTTTTGAGAGGATTTTCTTTTCATTGTAAGTCTAACATGCATGTTTTTTGTGCATTTTTAATATGGTTAAAACCGTAGCAACCAATAGTATAGGTTTTAAAGTGTTGTTTGAACTGGATCGTTTTCTGTTTGAGGTGCTTTTTGCCCGAACGTTTTATTAGGGTTTTGTGCAATTCCTTGCAATCCCCATTATGAACCACTATTGTGGTTCATTACTAAGAACTTTTTATCTCATTATCTCATTTTGGGCAAATAGAGTATTTCCAGCTGAACTTTGCCCCCAAAATCTATCTAATTCCTGTTTTTAAAATGTCTAGTTGGCTTTTTGTTGTTCTTTTGACATGGTTGGGTATTGTCTCCTTAGTGCATTGTAACAACTGTTGATTTCCAAAAGTCTTAGATATAATTGGCCATGTTTCTCACATTTATACCAGTTATCTCTTTCTGGTATCCTTTGGGAGGAAGTTTTATTTCATACTGGCTTTAATCTATAGTTCCCTGCAATATGTCCTTTCAAGAAAATAGGCTTAATAAATACAGGCTGATTAAAAATGGTGTAATATACTATAAACTGAATAGTAAATGAACATAGAGAAAGATATGTCTATCTATTTAAAAAATACCCTACAAATGATGTATTAAGACCTATTAGATTGTGAAAAAGCTAACTGGATTTGAATGACAACAATCACATTTGCCAGAAACAAATGGTCAGTTGGTGGCACAGTGCAGTTTAGTTACCGAAGATAGCTGAAGGAAGATAAATAGAGAACTCAAATTGTTAGTAAAAAGGTGTGATACTTGACATGTTTCATTAAAATAATGATATGACTTGTAAAGTGTTAAAACTTTCTAGGATGTATAAAGATTAATTATTGAAATGAAAACTGTGAAAAAGGTAAATAACAATACTTGTAAAATTCATTTATTAAACTCTATTATTTGTCATGTGTGTATTGTTTCTCAATCTGTACTAATTGTCACAATATTAAAAAGCAAAAGTATATATTCCATGGCATTGAGCCAAAACCACAGTCTGATCTTTTGGAAAAACATCGTCTGATGTCAAGGACGTGGATAATTAATTAATACAGAATAATATTCTCGTTATTTGTTATGACATTAACATTTAAATCATAATAAATGAAATATTAATAAAACAAATACAACATAATATCTTTAATTAATAGATACCCATCCTGAACCAAGGTATATAACTTAGATTTGGCAGTGAAAACATAATAATATCTTGGAAAAACATCCACTGACATCAAGGGCTTGGATATTAATTGTTAATATTAAATTTGATTATTACTTGCATATTAATCATCTAATTACTTAACTCGTAATTAATAAACGTTAATTAGATATCAATTACTTTCAATTCGCATATTAATTATCTGATTAATTAATTATTTAGATATATGGTAATTAATTAATTAAATTTGCACATTAAACAC